AAACTCAAGGCCCGGGGGCCAAATCAGGCCTGTGGTGGATTTAATTTTGGCCCGCTGGAAAATGTCTAATTACTATTAGATCTGGCCCGCCGGTATATTGCACGCACACCTTCACTCAGTCCTGAGGGTTTCCTCAGCTCAGAGCCTGACCCCAAACATTGATGACCTTGCACCCAAGATGAGATGCCAAGTATCTGGCTTGAACTAGCATCACAGAGCAGCACACTGAGTTCAATGGATGTTTCCTTCTGCACTTTCTTTCTTGAGACAGCAGGGCATGTTTGGTTTGTTCTTTGAGGGAAATAGTTTTTTTGAAGCTGTTGTTGGCCTGTGGAAAAATGTAATCATAAGAAATGCAGATAGAGCCATAAGAAATGAATGCAACAGATTTTTAATGTTGTTTTTATAGGCAATAATTTAAAGGGGACCTATCATGCAAAATGCACCTTTGTACGTCTTTTATACATGAAGATGTGTCCCCGGTGTGTCAGGGAACTCACCAAGTGTCAGAAAACACAACCCTCTCTCTTTTCCTCCGTACCCAAATCTCTAAAAACAGGGCTTTAACGGATCTGATACAGATTTGAAATATCTCTGACGTCAGTGACGAGGAGCTCCGCCTATATGGCCAACTCTCCACCAATCAGGGGAATGAGAGGTTGCCGTGGCATGGTAACAGCATGGTAACATGACACTCGGCCCCCTCCTTTGCAGGGGGGCGTGGTCAGCTGCAGCATGCAAAGACAGGGTGGAGGAGAGGAAAATAGAGCGAAATGAGGCATGGCTAAAATGCATGATCTGTTTGGTATTTTGAAAAAGAAAATGTATAAATATACCTTTATATAGGTATGGCCCTACAATATATTATTCAAATATAGCATGATAGGTCTCCTTTAAGCTTTGTTAGTCCCAGGTTTAATATGTGCAATAAGTTCATTTCAATACGTTTTTCAATAAACATTGAATCAGTCCGGCCCTCGACTAGTACCCATTTTTTTAATTTTGTCCCACTGTGTATTTGAGTTTGACCCCCCTGCTCTACAGCCACATTCTGTTGATAAGGTTTTTCAATTCAATCCATCATTTTACAGATTGCACCTTTTTAATCACCTACTTTACATATTATGCATACTGTCTATTTCTCGCTTTTTAAATCCTGTTTTCTCACTTAATTATTTGTATTCAATGTCTTTATAATATGAAAAGCAGATTTTTGTAATCAATGACAGAGCTGTCAACCCTGTTTTAAACTTGTTTATGTTGCAATTTGAAAAAAGGAAATTATTAGCATCTATGCTCATGTTGTTTCTTACCTGTTACATGTCTATTTGAAGTGCTATAATCATTTATTTTATCTTGTTAAGCAAATAACTTCCTCAGAATACATTTGGTTTGAACAACTCTGTTAAATATGTCAAAGATTGTACATCTGCACTTTATAACAGCACAGAGGGTCAGTTGTGAATTAACGTGACATGCTGTTTCCTCCATCACAGGTGGAGACGGTCTCGGGTTTCCAGTTGGATCAGTTTGAGTCGCTGCTCTTGCCGGAGAACAACCGACCTCTAGAGCCCGGCGTCCTGCTGGCGCTCAAAGAGCTTTTCAATCGCTCAAACGCCGACATCACCGCTATGCACATGCTCAGTGTCGACTGCCAGGTTACTCTCAACCCTCTACATACTGGATGTATCACTTGGACATGGCACATCTGATAAATGCAACATAGACGATCAAATGTTTCAATTAATGCAAATATTAGGCATAGCTACACTAACTACTCATGTTGCTTCTGTTAACACATTGTTCATTGTGACCGTATGTCCATGTACTCCAGCCATCTAGGACCAACTCATGGTGTCTTATATATTTACTGTAGTAGTATTTTTAAGTCCTAATACATTTATTAAAACCTTGTACTCCCTAGCTTGATGAATATGGTCCCTGTTTTATGATATGGTGTTTTTGGTGAATTCAACAAATTCAAAAAAGTAGCATAAATACCCACTCATTCATTAACTGAATATAAAACATTACTGAGCATTTCTTTGTGATTGTTGTCACGCTGCAGGTTGCACGCATTGTTGGGGTGACCGATGAGCAGAAGAGGATTATGGGAGTTGGATCGGGGCTGGAGCTTGTCACTTTGCCACATGGACGCCAATTACGGCAGGATTTGCTAGAAAGGTACGTGAAGATGATACAGATAGTGAGAAAAGACTACATATAATTGCCTCATTAGAGAGTAAAGGGTTAACTTGACCGTGGAGCTAGCTGGTGACACTCAAACATAAGAATCAGATTTTTTTCTGTACAATAAACAAGGGTAAATCAAGTTTTTGTCAAGCAAATTAGAATTAAAGAAAAACACTTAGCAAACATTAATGAATCCACTTCTCAAAGTAAATACTGGATGAACATAAAATACAACAACAATCTCTACATTTTAACATTTAGCCTTACTGACTTCAGGTTTTTCTCCCCACTGGAAGGGAGGAAAGCTGTCCTCACATTCTGCCTTACTTAAATCGTATGCACTCTAATTATTTGTATCATTTTTAGGCATCATCTAATAGCACTGGGAATCGCTGTGGACATCCTGGGTTGCACAGGGACTGTCAGCCAGAGGTCAACTGTTTTACATAAATTAATCTTATTGGCTCAGGCCCTGAAAGATCACGCCCACAACCTCTACTCCTTCTCAGCCGTGATGAAGGCTCTGGATTTGCCTCAGGTGGAGAAGATATGACAAATATATAGTTTAAACTAAGGTCAAATGCAAACTGGATGGAGTTTACCAACACACTTGGTATGTTTGTGCTTGCAGATAACGCGACTAGAGATGACGTGGCGAGCGCTGAGGAGGAACCACACGGAGACTGCAGTTTTATTTGAGAAGAAACTCAAACCCTTCATGAACATGCTGAACGACGGAGACGGTGAGTTTTAAACTAAGAAACATCTTATTTCATTCATTTGGTAGATGCTTTTGCCAGTGTGACTTTTCCCATCCAACACAAACAGGTAAAAGTGTGCTTAGGTGCAAGTACTTAGTGCTTTTTATTTGTTCACTACGATGAAAGTAAGTGCTGGTATTGACTGTTTGTCTCCAATATCAAATCAAAAGCAGTAGGAGAAAAGCCACATTGATCTCGACTCAGAACAATTTATCAGACTTCCTGGAAGCCACAAAAGACACTGTGTGTACTCCAGAGAATCTATAAAACACTCAGCACTCTTCTCCTTTTTGTTGTGTGGTATTAATAGCGCTGTAACCCTTCGTTTTAAAAACAATACTATAATATATAATAATGCGTTGAATCTGTTTGTTCATGCGTTTCCCTGTAGACTCTGTAGTCCACGGTCCCTCAGCCATGCCTCACCTGGTTCCCCTGCTGATGGTGATGGAGGGCGACGACCCGGTGGAGAACAGTGAGCGCGGCTGTCAGCTCCTCTACGACGTCCTCCAATCAGCTCGCAGCGCTGCGCTGCACGCACAAGATTATCAGCAGCACGCACACACTCTGCTCACAGGTACACACAGCATTGTTCTCTCCTTAATGTACACACATCACAGTATTCTTATCCTAAATCTGTTACTATGTCTGTATTACTGAATTTATCAGTAACAAACTATTAAAGTCAGATAAAGCTAAATTCAAATATTAAATATAAATATCCTGTGTTTTTTACATGAATGTGACCTGTTCATGAAGAGATGTTGAGTGAGGCACTTTCTTTTTATTAAATATTTGACCAAAGAGTGCAACGATTCTCAACAATTACTGACTAGCATTATTTGGCTTGCCTAAAATAAAATAATTTAAAATCTAAGGAAAAAAGGTCCTCAGACAATTTTACCAACTTATATAGAAAACATATTTTGCATTACTTTATTTTAGTCGAATTAGTTATTTATACATTTCTCTATTTTAGTTCATTTTTTAAATGAACTAATTCAGTCTAGGGGGTTAAGTGAATGGTTAAGTAAAACAAAGTAGAGAGGCAGACTTTATGTTCTTGACGTATACAACAGGTCAGAATAGTTCTTAATTTTGTTTGTATTGAAGGTAAAAGTGCAGGAAAATGTGTGAACTTAAATCACTGTTCTTATGAGAGGTTCTTGTTGTAAGGCAGAGTAAACATGTTTGCACTGGCAGAACGTACAATAGTATATTATCCTAAAAAAACATAGTTAAACTGATGTGAAATGACCTCATTCTTGGCGTCTGATGGGATGTCTGTCCCGTCCTTCAGCAGGAAGCTGGGAGCCGGTCCCCGAGCTGCTGGAGGCTTTCCGGACGGAGTTCGCCCTGCGGCTGTTCTGGGGTCAGACGGGGGCCACGGCCAGCAGAGAGGAGCGCTACGAGAAGTTTGACATGATTCTTTCTGTCCTCTCGGATAAACTGGAACCAGTGGAGCTCACCCCACGACAACCTGAGCCTCTAACCTGAGCGTCCTGACTTCCCCGAGGGAAAGGGAAGTCAGGGCTTTCTTCACTGGAGGAAATGTTTTCAGCTTAGCCTGGGTGAGAGGCTAAAGAGATCTCACATCTGAGATCACACAGACATAAAGGAACGTTTATTTTTCAAATGTGAGAGACTTTAAAGCTTGCCAAGTGACGACTTAACTTATAAAAAATGATGTCTGAACTAAGAGAGCCCTGTGCAGACCTTTACTGTGAAAAGGGCTGTGTTGGTTTCAGGCGATCTGGAAATGTTTACCCAAAAACTAGCATCTGTTTACGAATGTGCATTTCTGATACTGAGACAGTGTTCACACACACACCACTTTTTCTTTAAATACTTTAGTCCAAAGGACCATCATGATTACAACTGATTGGGTTCCCTTGTACATTACCTGCTGCTGTGAGAGGCCACACTGGAAATTGTGTTCATTTCATGTCAGTGTTTCTAAAGCAATAAATCATATTTGTGTAATGTTTGCGTGTACTATTCCTCATAAATAATATTCTAAATGAACAAAAAAAGACAACCAATGTATTTTTCTTTACACTTTATGACTCAGACAAAACATGTAAATTCATACATTTTCCTTTTAGAATTGTATCATACAATAATACCCCTTAAATGTTGAAAAAGTCTACTAGTGCAGGACAGAGTGGCAGAGAAAGAGATGGGTAAACATGTGGCTCAATGAGAGGGAGATTTTTAGAGTCCCCCTCTCGAGTGTTTTGCTTATTTCTGAATATGACAGATTCAGATTCGCTGTGCAGAGTGATGTTCCTGCAGGGTCTGACACTAGACGTCTGATGTATCCAGTTTCTCTGCGCTTAAATCAAAAGTTTAAGTGTACAAACTATGGACAAATTATTGTGATATGGCTTGAAACCTCAAAATGAACTTGAATAAAGTAGATAGGCAGTTCAACTTTTGATATAAATAATATTTGTATAGTCATAAATTCTTGATTTTTCAATAATCGAGAAGAAGTAAGAGTATTTTTAACTAGTTAATTGACTGTATAAGGCACAGAAGCTCTCATTGCCTTTCTTTGTAACCCAATCTTGTGTCATTAATTCTTCAGAAATGTGATTTAACAAGTCAATTGGATTACAATTCAGAATAATGTCAAAGGTTTTAAACATGTCCATTGTTTGAGAGGGATCATCTGAAGGCTCAATATATGACAAGTGGTTTTGACAGTTTAAAAACCAGTATATAAATACGAGGGGAGTAAAGATGTCAAAGTAGAAACAGTTGAAGACCAGAATTGAAAACTCGCTCTGCAATTTCCGTGACAGGGACTTAATTGATATGTCTCCACTTTAGATTTGTATTTCCATGCTATGTATTGATCTCTGAAGCAGCGACCTCAAACGCAGCACACTTTTCACCAAGTATTTGTGAATGCAGGTAAATGCTGTATTTTTACTCCAACATGTTTAATGCCACTGTGCTTTAGTTTCCTTGCAAGTCTCTCTTTAGTAAAGAAATTGTAACATCATATGGAGATATGAACTGTTTATTGAAGCAGTTTTTGCTTGATGTAATGTGTTCTTGTTTATATTATTTCTTGTATTAATATGTATAATAATATGCTTATATAAGGCAGTATGAGACCTGATTTACTCAAATCAAGAGGGTTTCTTCCAAAATATAAGTATTTTTAGTATTAAATTCCTCTATGAAATAATTTCTCCTGCTGAGATGCAGTTGAGGGATAGTAACAATAAATGGTTGATTAAAAACTTTGAAACTTTGGATTGTACCTACTTGATTAGATTGAAGGGGCCCTATTACATTACACATGTTCATACCTCTTCTGTGACATGTTTCCTTGCTTTAATGCAACTGCAGCACCTCTTTTCACCCTCTGTCTGAAACCAGAGCCCAGTCTGCTCTGATTGGTTAGCTGGTTGGGCTCTGTTGTGATTGGTCAACTGCTTAGAGATGTCCCTTCTATGTAGCCAATGGAAGTGTGAGTGGTACGTAGTATGTTACGGAAGTAAACAAGGAGTCAAATGGGGGATTTTTTCATTTGGGATTTTAGCCCCTGCAGAACATTTACACGCACACAGACCTATATAACAGACTACAGAAAGCAACATACAGTATACATTTAAAAAATAACTTCAACAGGGATTTTGTCCCCATTTCCTGGGGGACAAAAGCATATTAGGAAGAGGGCAGAATGAACAAGTGGGAATGATTGCAGCAAGCAACACCTATGTCAGTGTTCATATGGGCACCTGACTAATGTTTTAGGAAAGGCATTAAAGTGAACCTATCCTTTACTGGGACAGACCTTATTGTGTTCACTCCCTATAGAGTAGTGGTTTTCGTCCAGTTATTAGTCATAAAACATCAAAAAGATACAAAGAAAAGCTCACATTATCCTGTCAGGAGAGAGGTTTAAGCAGAGGGCCGGTGTTACAAAAAGAAAAATGCTCAGCAGGTTATTAGAGATGGCAGTGGGAAAGTCAAGTGAATGGATATATCACCATAAAGAAAAGTAGCGTCATGCTACTATGATTCTGAATATGTTACAAGAGTTATCACTTAACGCTGTGACAAAATGTTCAGCTATACATTCAAAAGTTTGGATTTAAAAGAGCTGAAGACTATAAAGATCAGACGGTCTGAGTTTAGAGACGGCCTCCCCTGCAGCAGCGAGTAGAGACATGGACTTTATTATATTGCAATCAGCCTCGATAACAAGCTTCCTAATCACGACACGTCACCGGCTGAGATAAAAGATGTAGAGAAAACCTCCAATTATCATGGATGACTTTGTATTCACCTCTGGCTCTGATCTTGATTTTCATCTAAAGCTCTAAGTGTGGGTGTGTGTGTGTGTGTGTGTGTGTGTGTGTGTGTGTGTGTGTGTGTGTGTGTGTGTGTGTGTGTGTGTGTGTGTGTGTGTGTGTGTGTGTGTGTGTGTGTTATGGGGCTATTTCACATAGGATGAAGGAATATAGCCCTCTTCTCCACCGGCTCTAAGTACTCGCATCCATCCGTCTCCTTTATCCTCCTCCATTACACTCAACATCTCACCCTCGGTAATGGAAATGGTGCCTTCGCTGTTGCCTGCACACACACAATGAAGACATGTTTAAAAACCTGAAATGAAATTCATTTATGAGTGAGCTAAGTGAATGAATATGTCCACTTTACCTTGAAAAGTGTACAGGGCCATGCACTGGCCAACAGGAGTTTCTACGTCATCAAACTCGTCATCAAACTCTAGGTAGATATTCTGAGGCTGTTCAGCTGCTACACCACTGGAAATGTCCAAGAAGAAAAACCAAGTATTTGTATTTGTTGTATTCAGCTAAACATTCACATTTAAAAAAATAGTTCAATATCTTGTGAAATGATTTGATTTGATTTCCAGCTTGGAGTTAGATAAAAAGACTGATACCGCTCTCCAATATCTGTAAAGTAAAAATAAAGCTACATCCAGCAGCTGGGTTAGCTTAGCTTAGCTTAGCATAAAGACTGGAAACTTGGGGGAACAGCTGGGTCATTACCAGTTTTCTATGTTATTTATATAACATATCATTGTAAGACATTGGTTAGAGCTATCATTCACAATTGAAAATGCAAATGAATGAAGGTAAAAATCAGTTTAGCCACAGTAGCGATAGCAGTGTCTAAGGGAAGAACTTAGTGTCTTGCATGTACATTTGTATTGTGTTTTAATAACTATGACATCAGTTACTATAACATGTTATTAAAACCTGCAAAATTGTAATATTATCTAACCCACAGTCAGTTTAGTCAAATAATCATACTGTGATAACAAGCCGGCGGCGCTAGCAAATTAGCTTCCTAGCAGAAGTGATACTACTCTATTTGCTAAACTAATCTAACGTGCAGTAGCTCCAGATAAAATAAACAAACATTTACTTCTCAGCATAAAAGTGGATTAGCAAATCTCCAAAAACATCAAAAACACTTCTTTAAATACGGGTCTTACGTGTGTTGAGTATTATTGTTGATGGCGTTGGAAGACTCCTCTCCTCCCACTGCTTCTGACAGCCACGTCTGTGATGAACAAGATGTTAGACTTGCACAAAATACTTAAATAGTGTGTGTGTGTGTGTGTGTGTGTGTGTGTGTGTGTGTGTGTGTGTGTGTGTGTGTGTGTGTGTGTGTGTGTGTGTGTGTGTGTGTGTGTGTGTGTGTGAACCTCGTATTTGGCGAGCTCCCCCCTCAGGCGGCCGATGTTTTGAGACGTTTCTGAGATCTGAGGCTCCAGACTGGAGGAGTCTCCCATCTGCGGATTCTGCTCGTACACACCCTTCATCTTCTCCAGTGCCTCACTGAGGGCAAAATGGGGAAGAAAAGTGTTATTATTTATGAAATGTGAACACTCATTAGGGAAGTTTCTCTCCTATGTAGCATCACTGATGAAAAACAGGAGGGACGCTAGGAGACTTGCTGAAGGGAGACTTGTTACAGCTCTATATGATGTGAGGTGAGGTACTGATGATGGGTGACAAGGCCTGGCTCACAATTAGAATTAATATCAAATGTGTTGGAGGTCAAGACTTAATGTGGACCTGTTCAGTTCTCCTACACCAAACTGGGAAAACCACTTCTTTATGGACTTGGCTTTGTCTACAGGGGGAAAGAAAAGGGTGTTTCCCGAATTAGGAGCACACTTAATCACTGTTTTCTGTATTTTAGCCTTTGCAGACCATTTACATGCACTAAAAAACTATATAACACACCCCAAAAAAAAAAAACATAATAGGGCCCCTTTAAACTAAATCCTAAAGCTTCAAAATGCAACGATGTCACTCTACTTTGAACTAACTGAGGTGACCACCAATGAAAGTTATCTTATCATTTGCTATACCACCACCATCTATGCTGCCCCAACCAATATCACATGATCACAGTAAACACCATGCATCAAAAGGTAATACCTAATAATAACAGTTGAAAAAATGTAATCAGTTTTTTTCAGGATGATCGTGAAGTTGTTACCTTTGGTCCAGCGCCTTTTGCAGCTCTTTAGAGATTTCGTCAATCTTCGACTGCAGCCTCTTCTTCCTCTGCTCCGGGGGAAGGTGAGAGAAGTCTTCTGCAAGAGGTGGCTATACACACACACACACACACACACACAGTTATTATCCAAGCATGATGTAAAACCTTTATAAATGATCACCACCAGGTGTCACTCAACCACTTCAATTTATCTTTACCCGAGCCACATCATTATTACAAGGAAACACACTTTGTTACAGAGAGAGACAGTGAGGAGAGCACCATTAGTAACCATGACTTTTAATTTGGGTTAACTTTCAATTCCCACTAGTATCATTGTCCATGTTTTACTGTATTTGTTCATATTCTTTTTTGAATTGTTTTATTTGAACATATTATAATTTCTTGTCAGCTTTAATTCACGGGAATTTCATTAGGATCACTAGATGTTCTGTATTTATTTTAATATTGTTGTTGTGTTTTCTGTAAAGCACTTTGGGCTGCTTGTGCATGAAAGGTGATATACAAATAAAGTGTATTATTATTATTATTATAACATCCCCTGAGAATACCACTGAATTTCAAATATGCATTTCTTTTTTTAAATCGCCTGATGCAATGAGTGCAACTATTTCTCCAATGCCATACCAATGTACAATTAAGGAAGTGCAACAATCCTAATTATTCCAACAAATTATATTGATTTAAGTTCCCTAAGATTTTGAGACAGAGGAGTAACAAAGCACTATTCACTTCCGAACTGGTTATTAAAGCTTGGTTTAGTTAATAGCTTTGTGGCAGACTCCTGTGGAGTTTGAGCTGAGATATTGTTAAAATGAGGCTCAAAAACATCGTGATAACATCCTGGATTATTTTCTCAAAATATTAAGTCTAAAGAAAGGGGCCCGTATTTTTTACCTCCACAGAGACAAAGGTCAAGAATGAGTGAAGTAAAAGATTGAAAACGAGATATCTGGATAAAGACTAGACCAAGTTTGTACAGCTTGTTTGTTTGGATTATTCAAAGTAGCAACCACACTTTTTCTAAAAGGAAATGTTGCTGTGTTTTCAATTCAAATTTTTCACGGAAAACATACATTTCAGAGTCAGATATTCTACCAAACCAAAGCTATTTGCATGGCAAGAAACCATAAGAGGTAAGTAAGATAACATTTGATTTTGTTATTTGGATGAACAGGTCTGTAAATTCATCGCTACATCGAGTTATCTTTTCTAGTTTTCAAGTAGTCTGTCAAATTTGATACAGTATATATTAGAAAGTGTGTCCATTTGAATCATTAGATTAAAAGATGAAGTTAATAGTGTTCCCTGATTGAACATGTAGTGCGCTGTGCCATGGGAAACATTTATTAAAATATTTGTATGAAGGTATAGCTTCACCCATGCAAATAATCCAGCTTGCAGTGCCAACACATGGGCGACTACATGCACTTTCAACACTGCAGTCTTACAGCTGGTTCACCTGACCACACCCAGCTGTGATTACAGGTGAGGTCACGTGAAGCCCTGCAAACCTGCATTTAAAATGACACACAATAAATCGGAAAACGTTATCGGTAAATCTGTACGATTTTTTACCACTGACACAAATTATTAAAAGGGATAGCTTGCATTTTCTGAACAGCAGTACATTACTTTGCGTCCGTGCAACAGACACTCCTTTGTCTTTCACCAAACTTAGCGAGTGCCTACCTCTATTGAGAAGTTCCTCATGAAACTCCACTGTCAAAAATCCAAACTATCCCTTTAAATAATATTTCCCCTTTAAAAGAATCAAGCACCAGAACACTTTTATTCAAGCACCTTTGACGTCTACCCTTAAATATGTGTTAATTACGGTTACCATGTGCTTTTCAGCTTGCGATATCTGGACAGAGAAAAATGGACACTCAGAATGAGAAAGGGGAACAACAAACGCATGCAAACATTTGGAGCAACAAGCATGACATGTGCAATATGTACCTAGTTAAGATAATTATCAGTACTGGCTGTCAGACCATTTAATACTGTAACAAGAATATGTGTGCATAACTGCAATATATCATTTTACTACTGTTATCTAACGGCTACCACACTACATTCTGCATGTTACACTTACTTTATTTGACTTACTTATCTACATGAATGTGCACTTTTGTAAGTTGTCATGTAATGTTTTATTTTTAAATATCAGTTTTGGTAGATACTTTTGCTGCAAAAATGAAAATGTTGCCTCTGTCGGACGAATAAAGAACTTCTGCTTCTGAAAACTGTACAAATGTTCAGGAATAGCATCAATGCATGAGGAGGGGGGACATTTACACACAGCGGGGGAGGGGGGGCACACACGAGCAGCTGTCATCACTCACCCGGTGCTGTTTGTGTAATATCATTAGGGTGGAAATCCTGGGTTTAATAGAAATATTAAACTCTCTCAGGCAGATAGAGAGAGGGGAGGGCTGCAGCTTGGAGAGGGGGAGTGAGAGAGGGCGGCTGCCCGGTGGGAAAGGGGACGGTGGAGAGAAAGACGGAGGGGAAAACTGAGGAAGAGGGGGGGGGAAAGGACAAGGGAGTAGACGAGGAAGAAGAACAAAGGAAGCAGAAAATCACACTGGTAAATACAGAAGAGAAGAAGAAAGGGGAGTCAGCAGAGGCAGAGACTTTCTGTGAAAAAAAGGCGGAGAAGGAGTTAATAAGAGAGGGAGGGGTGTTTTAGGGCAAGTCTGTGCAGCAGACAGGAATTAGAATTGGTCCCTGAGGGCAACTGGGTCGTGGGGTAAGACATGAGAGGAATGTGAGTTGAGTTCCGTGTGTGTGTGTGTGTGTGTGTTTGTTTTAATGCATTGTTATGAGACTGTGTGAGCCTTCTTTTGCAATTCTATGTGGCCAACAAAAAGGAGGATAACAAGAGAGCCGGGCCCAGATCTACCAACATATTTGACTTCTTCAAAGCGGTCTGTACAATTAATCTGCAACAGGTCGTCAAACCAAAAGAACAGGTTTGAACACAATCGGCTGTAACATGACACCCTCTCTTCAACACGCACGGAGGACTGTTGACTATTATTAGAAATGAAAACGTGTCTAAATCAACCATGTTTACAGAGTTTAAAGAATCAATGTTATATGGTTTACATGACAGGTTCATTTTAGCCCAATGACATATTAGTAGCCCGGACTAGTTGAGCCCCATTTGAAGAACAGGACAGGGAGGATTTTCAAGTAGTCATATGCCAAAGCAGGCTTGGCAGAGAGGGGAGAGGCAGTACATATCCTGTCTCTGAGACGCTGCATCTTTTATGCAAAAGCAGAGCTAATGGGAAGAGATAAACAAATTCACCTTGGTCTTCTTGCTGAAAGGCCAGAGCTTGGCGCGCACTTTAGGAGGGTTGAGGCTGGACTCGGAGGTGGCTGATTTGATTCCCTGGGTGTAGTCTTCAAACTCAACATCTGCAGGTCGCTCGAAACCAGATTTGTGCTGCTCTATGAACAGCATCGAGTCCTGCAGGGAGACAAGTGGACAAACGTTTACACCAAAGAAAGTAAAGTGTTGTTTCTGTTGATTCAGAGTTAACAACAAGTGTTCAACTGAGCCCGTCTGATACTGGAAGGGCTGGTTACACTACATTGGCTGATGGGTTTTTATTAAGCTCATTCTCAGGTTCATATTTGTATTTTGTGCCTCTACTGTGACATGTCTCGCGCTAGCTAATAGAAACGCGTTATACATAGTGATGTCACTATGTTACGGATGTAAAAAAAGGTGTCCAATGGAGGTGTTTCAGGCATGGGGGGGGGGGGGGGAGTTTGTGGGAGAGACACTTTGAGGGGGAACTTTGGGATTTTAGCCTCTGCAGACCAGTTACATGCACCAACACATATACAACACACTACAGGACAGGGAAACCCCCAAACAGCACAATAGGGCCTCTTTAAATCAGTAAACTCTACTGAAATTAAAATTGTAAAGACCCTCGTTTAAAAGATACATCAACATTTCAGGCAGTGTCAACAATACGTAGGTCTCTACTAAAGTCATTCCTTCTTTTTTTGTCAGCAGGACTTTGGAAAGCTCCGGTCCTATTTTTACACAAGGGTAAAACTTCCCCCCCCACTTTCACTTCAATTCTGCAAATATTTCCTTTATTTTTGGATTCTTATAGCGATGCCAGAAAAGAAGTCTGCTTTTTTCAAGAGTCCACGTTAACAAAGGGTGAATAATTGATTTACAAATGCTCATTTCCGGGTTGAAGAGTTCCTTCAAATGCTTTGCAAATGTTTAATAAGGAATTCATTGAAACTCAAGGAACCACAACATGCATCTTGGCGAGTGGCACCAAATGAAACATTTCTTTTTTTAACAAGAAAGCTCCATAGGGTGTATTTAAATTGAAACAGGTAAGTAGCCTCATTAAATGCTTATTTACGTTTCTTTTTAAGAGTTTGATAAGAAGTTTAATATGAGCGATCTTATCATCGTTCTCTCTGCAAAATACCAAATAAGCCAATTTCCCCAAAATACTATAACTAAAACTATTCCTTTTAGAACATCACAACATACCAGCATCCCTCCTAGTACCAAAACAATAAGATCACAGTTGTCTTAGATATGAAACTGGACAGAGAGCCACAGTCCCATTATTGTTTTATAACGTGGGTGAAACAGATTCAAACTCAAATTAACACGACCGACAACATTTACCTGTTTTTCATTAATTTTCCCTCCTGCGGTGGAAATCCCTTCTAAACACTTTGAGATGATGGGCTGCACTTTCTTCTCGATGTCTGCAAACTGGCAGTATCCCTCCGCCATCCGCCGAATCCTCAGCTCATCCATGTCCTGCATTTTCTGTTCCACGCACAAACAGCCTCCTTAAAGTTCATATTATATATTTACACTGTCTATGTTTATAAGATGCACCTTCAAATAGACAGGATTTGATTTGAAAGGGTCTGTTTGGTTTCAATTCGTATTTAAAGAAGTGTGTGAGTATTGCCCAGTTGTACTGCATTGTGTTTACACGTGTTTTCTCACATTGAAGATCTGCGGTATCTCCGTGTAGTAGAAGAAGTTTTGTTCCTTGTTGTATTTCTGGAGCTGTGCAGCATAGTCGTTCCTGCACTCCTCCGCCGTGTGTATGCGGCCATGGGCATGTGTCTTGGCCTTCAGAGTAAAAGAAAGGTGGAGCGATAGTAGAGAAAAAGGGAGGAGTGCAGGAAGAGGGAAAGAAGATGCAAAACAAAATGCAAAAGGGGGGAGAAATGCGGGGAACAGATGCAGGGAGGAAGCAAAAGGGAGGAGAGGCAAGGAAGGTTCAAGGTTATTCTTTCTTTGATATCTTGCAATATCAGCGCTCAGATGTGTGTGTGTGTGTGTGTGTGTGTGTGTGTTTACTTTTTCAACATCCAGCCTGGTGGCGTTGATGTCGTTCTCCGTTTTCTCAGCTTGTTGAGTGGCTTTCTCAGTCTCTGCCCACTCCTTGGCAAAGCGCTTCTTTGTCTGCAAGCCAAGCATGTACACACACACACGAATGAAAGTGTTTCGCACCTGTTGGCCACCGTATATATATGATCTATAACATTATCAAACGATGAATTAACCCATATTATGGTAATAAGTTACAACTGATTATTAGAAGGTAGGACTATATTTTTTCAGTCGCAACAGACATGCATTAACTTCAAGTAACTCACTAAAGGTTTGTGAAATTGTACCAACTGAGGTTGAATAAAACAAACTCAAATTCTCCCACTGCACAAGAATACACTCCATAATTGCCCAAATGTTCCATAAAATGTATTGTAAGATATGAAATGTCAAACTTTCCGCTTGACAAGATATTAAGGAAGTGAACGTGTTATTTCTTATTTGAAGTGAACTAATCCTTTAAATAACAAACATGTGACCCAAAGTAGACTTCAGCAACAACAAAACATGACTCACACTTTCTAGTTGTTTAAAGCTGATCTCTAAATTCTGCTGGGCCTTCTTGGCATCAGCCAGGTGCTGGAAAGGAACATATTTCAGTTAATAAGCTGCAGTTTATGACAATAACACCCGGTACTCCCTCCCTTCCTTCCTTCCCCGTGTAGTATCCCTCCCTCTCACTGTTTTGCGCTCCTGTTTGAGATCCTGGAGGTACTTGGTGAGGTCCACACAGATGCCGGTCATCATGTTTTCAGCGATGAGCTCTCGCTGGCCGGCGTAATCGTTCAGCTCGTTCAGGATCTCCTGGAGGGAGGCGTGATTGCTGAATCTGCAGCACGGAGGGAGAGACAATTAGTGGATCGTCACAGCTGGATTTCTCCCCATGCTGAGCGATGATGCTAATAGAGCCGTTTTTACACAAGGACCCCTTAGGACATATAAACCATACCAAGGAACACAATGTATGTCCCCTTGAAATACTGTAATTGTAGTGGAACAATTATAACAGAACATTTTACTCAATAAAACTGCCGCCGAGGCAACAGCTAGGGGAACTCACGCAGGGAAAAATATCCAAAGTCCAGGCAAGAATGTCGTTTTGTGCAGTTTATTCAATTATCCAAAATGCAACAGTACAATGACAATGGTTTTCCTGTATCTCTCACTTTTTGCCTTTCCTGTGGCCTCCTTGTCTCTTTCCCGCGGTAAAAAAAACATTTCCAGGGAAGTTAAAACCCCCAAAACTCTGAATGAATGCAATATAGTGTCACATTCCCTGTACTGATCAGTTATTCTTCAATAATACACTTTCATAAATGACTCTTGGATATAAGAAGTTTAAAGCAAAAACACAAACACTAGTCATGTTTCTATGAAAGTGTCAGGAGACCTTTTAAGCTAACATTCATTAGCATTGAAATGTTAATAAGTGAAAGTGAGCAAATGAGAAGTCTAATTTAGTTTACCTACAGTGTATAGTTTCTAAATGTACTGCACATTATTAGTGTTACATCTGCCCTCATTGACATTCTTAGTGCATATATATGTGGTGCAAGAATGGCAAAATTGAAAGACTTAGAGCAACAGAAACCACCTCAATTGTTTATTTTACATACGCAAAATAAGGACAGAAAACGTTATTTTGTTCTCTTACTTGCAGTCCTGCTCTTCTTTGCCCCCTCGTTTGGCATATTTCTTTGATAGATTCCTGTAAAAGAAGCAGAGTGACTCTATCAGACACATATAAATGCACAAACACTCATTTAAGATCGTAATTAAAGTTAACATGTGAGAACTTTCTTAAAACTAAATGCACACCTGAGTTGTTTGGCGTAGCTCTGCTCTATTTCTGTCCGTTCCTTCACAAACTTTATGTAGCGCTCCACCAGGTCCAGGCCCGACTGCGTGTGCTTGTCGATGTGATCATACTGGTCCTAAGAGAGGAACAGCACAGAGAGACAGATGTTTTTTAATACATGTTTATGTGCACACAAACGCTGCTGTTGAGAAACACCCTGAGCTCGAAATGTGTCTCAGAAAACCCCTAACACACTTTTTTCATTGTTTTGGCTTTGTGCTTTTGATTTAACACTTTCCATTCGAAATGAGGTACATCAGTGTAGTACTTGCAGCCGTTAGAACACACAATGAGACATCGTTTTAAAAGAAAAGGGCAAACATTGAGGTTGGATTAGGTTTCACTACTTACTGAAAGCAAAGCGCTTCTGAAACAAGAAGTGAATCTGGCTGCAGAACATGCCACATACTGTAGAGCAACACTGGGGAACATGTCTTTCCAAGTCAAGGGTTATACGTTTCCAACTACTGATTGTGTTTTATCGTGGATAAATCTGCTGTATATTTACTGCCAGTAAAGTATCAAAAATGTAGAAAGTATATATCACTATATCATCCTAAAGCCTCCGAAAGGTTTAAATTACTTTCTTTTACTTGACAATCCAAAACAAGATAATTTCCCTATCAAATGAGAACAGCATCACAATGGAACATCTAGAATGAGCTATTGCAATGAATGCATCATTGCATTGTCAATACACTGCGACTAACACCAACCAGCAGTTGCAAACATTTAAAATGCACTGTCGCAGAAGAGTTAAAAAAACAAACCCTGAAAGCAGTAAGTTATCTTTGTACACTATGATTCAATTGTCCGTATAGTTGCTGACGAACTCCGAATCGAAACTAGGAAACTGAGAACGTAACTAAGAAGTGTTTTAGTTCAAACCACATTTCATCAGGCGATCCGATACAAATGGAAACTGGAAGTCTAAGAATAACCACACACACCCTTTAATTTCTTTCACAAACATAAACTACAAAGGTGTAGTAGAGAAAGAAAAACTGTCCTTCCAACATTCCTCTCTGTCTCTATTTAAAATGAAATTACACACACACACACACACACACACACACACACAAACCTGTTGGACAGGTAACGTTTGTTGTCTCTGTCCCCACTGGCTTATTTCTACACGTCATGACATACTCACTGAAGGTTAATGTGACAAAGAAAAACTGATGCTGATAGACTGTGTGTGTGTGTGTGTGTGTGTGTGTGTGTGTGTGTTCCTTTAAGTGTTCTGTGCTGCTTAGCCCCGATATATTTGATTCCCTGTCGATGTAATATAATTTGTGGAACCAAATAAAGTATTCAAGTGTGTGTGTGTGTGTGTGTGTGTGTGTGTGTGTGTGTGTGTGTGTAGGGTCTTCTGGATCCAGAGACATAGATGTTGAGTCCTCGGAGGAGGGCAAAGCTAAAAGGAGATCATATGTAGCACAGTTAGCAATGTCCTGGATACGAAAAGGAGGAACAGGATGAGAAAAAAAACTGGGGTTTATTTGCACTAGAAATAAATCATAGAAACATAACTTTATGACAAATTCCTGCACGTATTCACCACTTCACTTGCTACGCCCCATTACTTCTACTGTAACACATCTACATGTTTGTGCCAGAGGAGGAAATGCTGATAGGGAGACAGAGAGGGTTCAGGAATGAGATAATCATTAGCTCAGTGTGAACCTCCGCCCAGTGACTGACGGTCCCAGGGGCCTCTCAAAACCCAGGAACCAGTCAGATTAGTCCCACCCCTCACTGTAACGGCACGCAGCAGCATATGTTTCCTGATGCACACTGATCCAAGGTCAGATTTGAGCTTATACTCAGTCATAACGTGAGCTCAACTGTGTGCACAAACTGTTCATAACGTTTTTGTAGAGTTCTTATTAAGTATTCTCAAACTACTGATTAACTAAATAAGGTTGCACTTAATGTCTTAGCTAGGAGGGACTTTTGTAATGTGTTAATCAGTTGCTAGGAATCATCTGGAGATATTTTCTATTCAAAGCAATCAACTGAGCAAACAGGAAGTCACTGGAGCCTCACAACCTGCAATATAACATTTAAAATGTCTTAGAGATTCAACGAGGCAAACAATATGTTTAAGAGGCCCTATTGTGCTTATTGGGTTTTCCCTTTCCTGCAATGTGTTATATAGGCTTTTGTGCATGTAAATGGTCTGCAAAGGATAACATCCCAAAGGTTCTCTCCTCCTGCCTGAAACGTTTCCATTGGACTCCTTTGTTTACTTCTGTAACATAGTGACATCACTAACAGTAACACTTGCGCTTCACTTGGGTAGCGCTCCAACACATTGTACGTTATAGGCTAAGGGGCGGGACGTACGATTGTTCTGTTGTGATTGACCAATCACAACAGAGCCGGCCAGCTAACCAATCAGAGCAGACTGGGCTCTGGTTTCAGACAGAGGGTGAAAAGAAGACCTGCAGCACAGGGAGTATAAGAAAAATAAAGAGCTTTTTGAACATTAAAGCGGCTGTAAACATGTCACAGTAGAGACACAAATTACAAATCTGAACCGGAAAATTAGCATGATAGGGCCCCTTTAAAAACGTCACTACTAAGATTGAAAATGTCTATCTTCATTGTCCTTAACTGAACAGCTGCATTTGACTTTTCAGAAGAGCTCAAAAAGTGGGTTTGTATCTTGTGCCGTCCTATCTGCCAAACAGGCAGTTTAAAGTCGCTTGCTACTGTGATTCATCACCTGTCCCTCTACTCTGTGAAGTTCCACAGGGCTCAATCCTTGGTACATTTGCTTTCTACATATGTTACCTCCAGATAGCGGTGCAAGTGAGGCGCAATATCCTTAAACTCACACCCAAACCGTCGAAATTACGATGTCAATTTTGCCGTGAAACTCCGCAAACGAGTCACTGTGGGGTGTGGGAGTCTAACAATTGAATTTAATATTCATTTGACATGTTAACTATATCATAAAGCACTTCATGGGAGTAATTGCGGGATGATACAATTGTTCCCTTATGCAACATGAGAGTATCACGATATGTATCGGTCGAGTATCGGTATCGTAAAACAGTCACCGATATGCAACCCTACCTCCAGAAAACCTGCCTCGTCAGTTCAACTGCATCTCTTAACACTGCTCGCTGATACAGGTATTGTAGTCATCAGCGTAGTGGTGGTGACAGTATGACTCAAAACCACTCTCTCTCTCAACTTGCCTTCCCTGTATTGGGACTGTAATTTATTTGTGACCTCTATAAAACTGGATATGCATTTCACCATGAGAAGCACTTTGTAACTTTATTTATACAATCTTACCGACCACATTTTAATAACGGTCAGGTCAGACCATATTTCATATAACCCATTATAACTCAACTTATTCTGAACATGTTACATATAAGCAAGCTCATATGTTGTCATCAGGTTCAGTTAGCTATGCAACACCTTCATGTATTTTGTACTAACATACATTAAGATGAGTTTTTTATGCATGAATCACAAACGCTATTTAATAAGGCTAAGTTTGTATTTACCCAGAGCTGCACCAGTCATTAACATTAGCTAATGTCGTGATATGTTTTTAGCGATTACAGGCTACTTTCAATCTGATTTAGTAAAAGAACATGCAAAGCAAATCTATCACGACATTTAGCAAAATCAAAATCATCGTTCATTTGTTTTAACTTAGGGTATGTTGCCTTCTTTTAGAGCACATGAAGTACATTTATTGAATGTACTAACATTTGAAAGTACTTATATTTGAATATTTGCATGTTTCTACTTCTACTCTACTGCATTTCAGAGGGAATTTCTGTAGTATTACTTCACTATATTTATTTTATAACTAGTGCTTTTGCAAATTCAGATTGAAAAATACAACATGTAAATGAATGAAACACATCAGGCAGAATGTAGGGGGAAACATGTCTAAACGGTCATATACAGGCAGGCCTTGTTGAAAGAGATGGAAGGTAGAAACGTTATGACATAGGGTTAAATAAGGGCATGTTTCACTTGTGTGTACATCAAAACATCTACTGTTCAGTTTAGGGCTTTAACCCAAAACAAATTAAAGATAATCCAATTTGTTTTTCAGAAAGATTGCTATAAATCCCAATAAGAAGCCTGATTGACAGTCTTCATAGAAAAAAGAGCAGTACATTTGATCTGGAACTTGAAAAACGTGTCATTGGTTATCGATGTAATGATTATATCAACAGGTCTGTTAGTGTTTGTCAGAAAAAACAAGTGACAATTTGGGATTTTGGAGGAAAATGTGGTTTACTCCTATTTCCTTGACCAAATGGATTCGAGATAATAATCGAGAGATCTCTCGTACTGTACTTGGATAAATGTACTTACTAGGGTTGCTCGATTATGGCAAAAATCATAATCTCGATTATTTGGGTCAATAATTGATATCACGATTATTAAAAACGATTATCCATTTACTTTGAAAAATGTGAACAGTATGTTTTTAACAGTCTGTTCAATCAACTGTTAAAAACATACGGTTCACTTTTTTTTTTTTCAATAAATGGATGTTTTCAAAGTAAATGGATAATCGTTTTTAATAATCGTGATATCAATTATTGACCCAAATAATCGAGATTATGATATTTAAGTATAATTCAACTGAAAAACCAATTAAAAAAAATTATAAAAAATTAATAAAATAAATAATCGTTTTATTTCGATGATGTTGTTTTCATAATCGTTGCAAGCCAACATCGTAATTGCGATTAATTGAGCAGCCCTAGTACTTACTACTTCTTACTATCCACCACCGGTTTAATCTCACAGGAATGTGTGCAGACTGTGAACATAATCACAGCAAGATTAGGGAAATTAGTTCTGTTTGCCCCAAAATTCTGCTTCAAACCAAATATCAAAAACAGTCAGGATGTTTTACTTAAAGGTTTCCTATTATACTCAATATATTAAAGTTCTCAGATATATACAAAACATGTCTCTGAAGTGTTTGGCTCCAAATACCAAACAGATCAGCATCCCATAATCCCCTCTGTTTCAGCCCTGTTTCTAAAGTGCTGATTCTCTGTCTGTTACTTTAGATGAAAACAA